ATGAAAGATTGAGAGGGATAAACCTTTGGCATGTCAAGACAACTTTTGGAACTTTTTACTTTACAAGCTCAAGTAGTCATATTATACCGATAACTCACTCATTTTCTGCAAGTACACGTTTCCCTAGTGAGTATCTGACAGTCTTGTGACAGGTGCAGGTAAAGCTGATTTTTCTCTTCAGTATTTAAGAAGGTAATCTTCTAAAAATTAAACATTTTCCTTCCAATCTGTTTCATTTTCCTTCCAATTCATTCAAGTAGACCCTATCTGGTTTGCCTGCCGCCTTTGGGAGTATCATCCAGAAAAGCAAAGCTTTTCAATATATTCTGAACTAGCCTAGACAAGTCCGAAATTCAAGTTTGTCCAGAAACTTGGTTGGACTAATTATCAGAACATTTTACTTTGAATGGACTTCTGATGAGCTAAAGATAAAAACATTTTTATTTCTTATTATGAAAGTAAAAGTTTTAAAATACTATGAACTTTGAAGATGAGAGGCTGGAAATATTTAGCATTTTAGAAGTTGTCCAACCACCTCTCTGTGTTTTGTTTTTAAGCTCCAGCTCCACAGAGTTGAGCAAAACTTTGTTATTCCTTAAAATCCTCTTATGTCTACTCTAGTCAGACACTGAGTTAAAAAAAGATGTCTGAAAGACACCAGTTTCACTTCCAAGCCATGATATAAGAGCCACTTGAAACCATTTTTATATTGCAAGACTAGAAAACTGTGTTAGGGGCAGCCTCAGTCTGACTTGCTGAAGACAAGCTGCTTCTAAAGCAGGAACTTTCTGAGTTTTTATTCACTATACTTGGATATTCCCTCTGAATTTGTAGAAAATAAATATCCTTGAATATTTACAGTAGTACAGCCATATTAAATATTCTCTCCAGTTTTATACACAAAGAATTAAAGCATAAATACTAAATTAGAGGGAACTTTCGTCATTCCCACTTGTCAGCTTTAATGTCAGGTCAACTTGCACATGTTATTAGAGTGTGAGGTTGGGAAACGTGTCAGGAAGCAGCTATTTACTACAACTTAATCAACCAGGACAGTGCATCACTTCAGCATTTTTTGGGAAGAACAAAAATCAGTCAAGGTGTGTACATGATAAAGGGGAGTTTCCTAGCCGTGTTACATAGCACAGTAGCATGCGACGATCACTTCTTCCAGTGTTTGAATGAGACCCATGATTGAAATCCACTTTCCATCAAGAGTCAATCAGCATGGTGAGAACAAGAAGCAGATTCTGCCTTTTCCCTGAAGTTCAGATGGTCATTACCTCTCAATTTTGTTTCCTTTATACGCTGGACTCCTTTCAGTTGAGTTATGCCAGCTGGGCAAATGTTAGAAAAATGAAGAAAAGCAGCAATAAGCAATGAAAACAAATTATCCATAATCTTACCTCCCTGCAAAATCTCCAGGTCACATTTTCTTCAAACTTTTTTCCCTTATAAAGAAAATGCTATGCTATCAACTAAGGTAATTTTGTATGTGTCTGCTTTTGTTTCTCCATGTAATGTTATATCATGACCATCTGACCTTTAAAACTAAACTCAATTTATGTAACAAAAGGGAATCTAGTCACAAAACGGAAATATTAAAAACTCAGACATTCCTTAAATGGTCGAAGTAGAATTAGAGAAAGCTCTAGCCAACCATTGATAATAAAAACAAAAATTCTCAGCACTGGATCAACAGGAAGCATCATGACAGATGGAAAAAAGACTGAAATTGCTGACTATCTTATTTGGATCCACAATCAAGACCCTTGTTATCAGTAGTCAGGAGATCAAGTGATGAACTGCACTGGGAAAGTGTGCAGTCAAGAACTTTGCCAAATTACTAGGGAGCAATGATATCAGTTTGAGAACTAAGGTGCGCCTAATTCAGATCATAGTCTTTTCAATCCCTTACTATGATGGACAGTGAGTAAAGATGCAAAAAGGACCAATGGTTTTGAGCTGTGGTGTTGCAGAAGAATACTGAATATCCCATGGACTGTCATAAGGACAAACATGTATGTCCTGGAGAAAGTACAGTCAGAGTGCTCCTTGGAGGTAAAGGTGACACAGCTTCATCTCACACACTTTGGGCATGTTTTAAGGAGAGGCTATCACTTGAAAAGAAACCTCATGCTTGTAAAGGTGGAGGGTCGGCAAAGGAGAGGAAACCCCTCAGATGGACTGACACACCGACTGCAGCAATGGGCTCAAGTATGTCAGATATTGAGAGTGGCACAGGACAGGACAAGGTTCATATCAGCTGCTATAAGGCCACTATGAGCCGTACCCGACCCGATGAAAGCTAACAACAACCACAACAACCAACGAACTTATCATTATAAAAGTGAGCTCTGTGGCATAACGGTAGAGAGTTGTGCTGCTAACCTAAAGTTAATACCTCTCTGGTAGTTCGAATCCATCACCAGCCTCTCAGGAGAAAGATGAGCGATCTCTTCTCCTGCAATTCACAGCCTCCACATTCCTGCATAGCTGCCAGAAGGTCAATTCTGAGTCTATTCTGGCTCAAAGGCAATGAGAGAGTGAGTGCCTACTATTAAAAATAATGAAAGAAAGGGACACCTTTAATGGCAGTTCAAAGTAACGGCTTTTAATTTTTCTTTAATAACTTCTCATATTACTGAAATTTTATATGCTTGAATAAATATATTCCTGTAATAGGTTTCCACTTAATGGAATCTTACTCTGTGTTTTAGGGTTTAATAGGTACTATCGTTAACTATAAGGCAGTCCAATAGTGGCACAGTCAATAATCAAAAGGCTTCTCATCTCTAGTGGTTTGAATCTACCAGCTTCTCAGGGGAAGAAAGATGGGCTGCCTTGTCTCATTGAGATTTACAGTTTTAATAGCCCAGCGGTGGGTCACTATCATCTGGAATTTCCTTGATGGCACTGAGCTTGAGATTTTTGGGGGGTGGGGTGGAGGAGGTGGTATCATTAACTACCAGTTTCTACACATATTCTCCCTAGAAATCACAATACCGAGCTCAGCAATTCATGAAAAAAACTTGAGAATGTAATTTTTCTATATTAAAAGAGAACATCTGGAAGTGGTCCAGTAAATGCAGATAATGCAATATAGCATTTATTTATTCCTTCTTCTTTTTCCACAGAAATTCATCAGGTATTTACCATGGTCTCAATAATATTAGTGGCAAATAAAAGCCGCCTCCTTCTGAAATAAAAATGGATGAGATGTTTCTGGACAACATTTACTATATATAAGCATCTCTGTCTCTCGTGGTTGACTGTGGTTCAAATCCACCAGCAGTTCCACAAGCGTAAGATGGGAAATCTCCTCTTGTGTGTTTTGCTGCCTTTAAAAACCCAATGGAGGGTCAGCTATGGGTTCTGATTTGACAGTACTCAATATCAAGATTTAGGAATAAATAATACATCATCTCATAGCTAATACCTAAGATACTTGCAGCTAATTTCTGATTCCTAATAAGTAGACTTCTATGACTGGCAGCACCATGTCCCAGACTACCTCACTAACCCTTTGTAAAGACAAAGCTTCTACCATTTTCTGATATTAAAAATAATAGTAATGGTGCATTCTAAAGGCAAATAAAATCCTTAAATTAATAGAGACTTTTAATTAATCTTTCTGCTTCCTGAAAAGAAATAATTTAACAATAATTATAGATATGTTGTTGTTGTAAGGTGCCATCGAGTCAAGTATGACTCATAGTGACACTATGAAAAAAGATCTGGACCCTGCTCTATCCAGCACCATCCTCACACTTCCTGACCCACAGGGCCCACTGCTGCAGTGACCATGTCAATCCAGCTGTTTGAGGGGATTTCTACCCAAGGATATAGAAAAATGTATTTAAAGTAACCATGCTGATGTATGCAATCACTTTGATATGTGCAGTCAAGGCAATGGATGTGGTCAAGTTGATTTCAACTCTTAGCAAACCTATAAGATAGAGTAGAACTAGCCCATTGGGGTTTCCTAAGCTCTGATCCCCTCTGTGGGACAAAGACGTGACAGTCTGCTTCCATAAAGCTTCACAGCCTTGGAAACCCCAAGAGGCAGATCTACTCTGTCCTTTATGGCTGCCATGAGTCAGAATCAAGTTGTCAGCAGTGGGTCTTGTTTTGTTTGGTACATGATATACATGTTTATTTTTAACTTTTTATTGTGATTTGGGTAAAACTTTACAGAACAAATTGGTTTCCCATTCATCAATTCATATACTTTTTTGTATTTATGCACTATGTTGTTGTTGTTAGGTGCCATGGAGTCGAGTATGACTCATAATGACCCTATGAACAACCAATCTGAACACTGTCCTATCCAGTGCCATCCCCACAATCTCTGACACACTCAAGCCCATCGCTATAGTCACTGTGTAAGCCACCTGGTTGAGAGTGTTCCTTTGTTGCCCCTCCACCTTCCCAAGCATGATGTCCCTCTTCAAGGAATAACCACTTCTAGCAATATATCAGAAGTACGTGAAACCAAGCTTTATCTTTGTTGCCTCCAAAGAACACTCTGGGTGCACGTTTTCCCAAGACACATTTGATCTTTTGGCAGTCCACAGAATCTTCAGCACTCTTCTCAAACACCACATTTCAAAGACATCATTTCTTCTTCTATCATACATTTATTTATTTCAAAATATTTGAGCATTCTTTAATTCTAATTTTCTGAAGCAATAAATTTCCACACTTTGAGCTACCCAAGCCATGTCTGATTCATAGCAACCTTACAGGACAGAAAAGAATTGTTCCAGAGGGTTTTCAAGGCTGTGAATCTTATGAAAGCACTGTCATACTCTTTTCCCACTAATTGGCTCGTAGGTTCAAAATGACCCCACAATAAGCAGCTGAGAGCTTAAGCAGTACACCACCAGAGCTACGTTGCATAAACATATACATCTGGACAAAGGATTCCAAAGTAACATTCAGAAATAATTTGTACATTTTTGCATATTCAAGTTTACAACTCACATATAGTTACTTACGTTCCATAAAATAAGGTCCAGGCTCAATTCTCCACACAATTTGTCCTTTTTGTGTTCCAGTCACACCCCTGTTTTTAGAATCCCAGAAGTTGGCTGGAGAATTCTCATCTGGAAAAACAAGCAGACAAAAAATTCTTATCTTAAGAATAACCTAGTGCTTATTCATTCATGAATTCTTTTTAGAACTTGTCTTTCCTTAGCTCAAAGACTAACACAAACTAAGAGAAATGGAAAAGAGCACTACAGAGAAAAAGTGGTAAGTCCTCCCTGTGCACATATATGGTCAATATTGTTGTGCATCAGTCTAGTCTGAAGAGTCTTTGAGAAAAACACTTGGAGTGTTTCATATTAATAAACACATTGCTTACTGACTACTTTTCAGTAGATAATGACCATGTTTGTATTTGCTTGTCTTTATATGGAAAAAATATTTCAGAGAGGGAGCAAGAGGATGTCATTTCTGGACACAGACAGATGGGTTGGTCAATTATATCTGAAAGACAGAAAAGCACAAAAGAGAACACTCCTGCAACTTCAGCTCTAAGCATATTTACATGGACCATGGGCAAGCTCCCTGCTACCAAAGTCTTTATAAAAAGGAAAGGACAAATAATACAAAACCAGGAGAAAATTCAAAATTTTATACATATGATATTTGTTTATGAAACTAAGTCAACACATGGCACAGACTGAAAAGGTCAACATACCGAAGACCCAGTCAGGTGATATCAGCTAGGCGTCTTTGAAATAAGATCTGAGACAGGAGATATTAAACTAAAAGAAGGGAAGAGAGTATTTACTTTTAGGCCATTTTGTGGAAGGACAGAATGAATAATGACATGAAAAAGTAGGCTTAAGAGGAGTATTTCCCAAACTTTCTAATGCCAAGGCACACAGAAAATGTAACATTAATATGGCACAAGGAGATACATGGAGAACCTATCTTAAATTACAATTTAAGATAGTTCTACATTAGAAAGGTGCATGTTGTTGATGTTGTTAGGTGCCAACAAGCTGAGTGTGACTCATGGAATCCTATGAACAACTGATAAGAACCCTGCCCTATCCTGTGTCATCTTCATCATCTCTGATATATGTAAGCCTACTGCCACAGTCACTGTGTCAATCCATTTCATTCTCTTCGCTGACTCTCCACCTTTCCAGTGTGACATCCTTCTCAAAGGCATAGCCTTTTGCATCCAAGGAGCACTCTGACTGTACTTTCTTCAAGACATACATATATAATTGCTCTTTTGGAAGTCATGGGATATTCAGTTCTCTTTATCATCACTCAAAGCCCCTGTTCCTTCTTCTGTCATCCTTATTCATTGTCCAGCTCTCAGACATGTAGTAACTGAAATGACCATGGCCTGAATCAGGTACACCTTAGTCTTCAAGTTGATATCATTCCTCTTCATTAATGTGGAGAGATCTCTGACAGTAGAATTTCCCAGTACAATGTATCTCATGATCTCTTTACTGCTGACACCAACAGTGTTGATTGTGGGTCCAAGTAAGATGAAGTAGTTGACAATTTCAATCTTTTCTTCATCTACCATGATGCTGTTTATTGATCCAATGGTGAGAATTTTTGGTTTCTTTACATTGAGATATAATCCATATTGAAGGCTGTGGTTTTTTTATCTTCTGCAGAAAGTGCTTCAAGTCCTTGCTTTCAGCAAGTTGTACCATCTGCATAACACAGGCTGTTGTTGAGTCTTTCCCCAATCTTGATGTCATATTCTTCTTCACACAGTTCAGTTTCTCAAATGATTTGCTCAGCATACAGATTGAATGGGTATGGAGGGAAGACACAATGCTGACACACACCTTTTCAAATTTTAAATTATGCAATATTCTCTTACTCGGTTTGGACAACAGTCTTTTGGTCTAAGTAAAGGTTTTGCATGAGCAAAATCAAGTATTCTGGGATTCCCATCTTTCTCAATGTTAGTCATAATTTGTTATGATCTATATGCATATTTCTAAAGAATCAAGAGGTTCGAATCCACCAGATGCTCTGCTGGAGAAGGAGGGACAATCTCCTCCTGTACCAATCAGATGCAATTTGACAGTGGTTGTTGTTGTTAAGTGCCATCGAGTTATAGGAGACTCATAGCAACCCAATGAACGAAAGTCCTCGACATTTGTATGCGTGACTTTCATCCTTTCTCCATGTTCATAGGGTTTCCGGAGGCAAGCTATTTATGGAAGTGGATGCCACTCCTGCTTCCAGATTTGACGGTACACACAGAAAAAGAACAAATTAAAAAAAAAAAAGAATCAAAAGAGGACAGAGTGAAAGTGGTTAGTCTCTGTGCTCATTTACGATCAATATCGCTATGGTTCAGTCTATCCTAAAGAGGTTTTAGGATACACACGTAGAGCTATCCTTTGGTAGCCCTGCAACTCTAAGCCAGGCATTAAGGTGCCCATCATTCCTTTGCTTCACTATTTCCTAGACATACAACCCTGCTGGCTGAAACTGAGAAGGACCTGAAGCACTGGCTGCAGAGGGTCAAGGACTGCAGTCTCCAACATAGATTGAGGCTCAATGTCAAGAAGACAAAGATTCTCACCACTGGACCAATTGGCAGCATCAGGATGGATGGTGAAGAGATTGAGATTGTACACAGCTTTAGTTTGCTTCGCTCCACAGTCAACAGTCTTGGCACTAGTAGCCAGGAAATTAAAAGATGCATTGCCATGGGAAAGTCTGCTGTTAGGGACCTCTCCAAAGTATTGAAGAGCAATGGTGTCTCTCTGGAGACTAAGGTGCGTCTGATAGAGGCCATGGTCTTTGCAATCACTTGTTATGAATCAGAGAGTTGGACAATGACCAAGGAGGATAGAAGGAGAATTGATGCCTTTGAGCTGTGGTGCCGGAGAAGAGTATTGAGAATACCATGGACTGCTAGGAAAACAGATTTGTCCTGGAAAGGGTTAAACCAGGTGGCTCCTTGGAGGCAAGGATTCTGAGGCTCCATCTAACATACTTTGGACATGTTGTGAGGAGAGACTGGTCCTTGGAGAAGGACATCATGCTTGGGAGGGTGGAGGGATGGCGCAGGAGGGGAAGGCCCTCTATGAGGTGGATTGATTCAGTGACTGGGATAATCGGGATGGGAGTGTCAGAGACAGTGCGATTGGCACAGGACAGAGCAGAGTTTAGGGCTGTTGTACATAGGGTCGCTATGAGTCGCAAGCAACTCGACAGCACATAACAATAACAACAACAACAACATCTTTTCCCTTCTATGGCTCATCTTCTGGTTTCCATGAATGGTTATTAGAAAGAACAAACAAATGATATTTTCCATTTCTTTCTGATAAAATCAGGATTAATTACATTAACCTACAAACGACTGGAGAATAATTTTTAAAAAAAAAAAACACCATAGAAAAGAATATAAATGCAAAACTTAATCTTTAAAAATTCTCTTTCTCTGTAATTCAGGATCAGATATATCATATATAACCAAATATTCAGATTTGGAAATGTTTTTATGACTATATTGTATTTCCAAATTTAGATGCAGGTATGAGAGGGGAAAAAATCAGGGACAAAAAAGTTTTCAGAGCCCTCATCTTTCTTTCAACCTGGGGAATCTGAGAAGAAATGAGAAATTTTATGAAGAAAATGCTATGTGACAGACTGTGGAAAAGCAGTGAAAAAAATTATTATACATTTTCTTTCACATTAAAGTAATTCTATCTTCTGTCTACAATTTCTAAATTACAAATGAAATAAAGATTGGAATTGATTCTCAGTTACTTTTTGGATACAACCAGAACATAACTATGTCCTGACATTCACTCTTTATCCTGAGTAAATAATATGACAATCTGGACTATATGAAGATGTGCCATCCGGCTCAATCAGGAAGAAGACTCAACAGCAATGTGATTATATAAAATGAAGGAGATTTGAAGCAGCACTTATTGATGAAGCTCAAAGACAACAGCGTTCAATATGGATTGCAATCAATATAAATAAAAATTATTCCTCACAACTGAAACAACAAAGAACCTCAAGGTAAATGTGGAAATGACTGAAGTTGTCAAAAATTTTCCTTTTATTTGGATTCACAACTAGCTTTCATAGATGTAGCTCTCAGAGGCAAGGATGATGAAACCTCATCCCATTTACTCTGGGCATATTTTCAGGAGCAATCACTCCTTGGAAAGACATCATGCTGGACAAGGCAGAAGGTCAATGGAAGAAAGGATGACCCTCACCAAGATTTCACACAGTGGTTACCACAATGGGCTGAATTTAGCAGGGCAGACAGCATGAGGGTGGAACAAGATAGTGCAAGGTTCAGGTCTGCTGTCCCTAGGTTCACAGAGCTGTAGTTGACCTGATGATCTAACAGCAACAGCTGAGCTGGTAATCAACTTTGCTTACATCTTACAGCTGGTCTCACTGGCTTACCCGATATGAACAGTTTCTGATTAAGAACCTTTAAAACTCTTAAATTCCTTCTTGACAAAGATCTTAAGGAGATTTTAGAGTGAAATCTTCAGCTCTCCCCACCCAGGCTGAGTATTTACCTGCATCGAGTGTGTTGCCATGTTGTTGTTCTGTGCCATGAATCAACTATGACTCATAGCAACAACCAACAGATCCAGCCTTGCCCTATCCTGTGCCATCCTCACAATCTCCAACATACTCAAGCCCATTGTTACAGTCACCATGTCAATCCATCTTGTTGCGAGTCTTCCTTTCTCTCTCTCACCTCCCACCATGATTTCTTTCTCCAAGGACTGGACACTTTTGACAATATACCCAAAATATGTGAGATGGAGGTTTACCAGAACAGAAACAAAATTCTTTGATACTTCAAGTAGAAAAATACTCAAGGTCTGTATTTTATTTAGTTCTTCTAAAAATTTATTTAAAAATCTCATTATGAAAGCAAAATAAGGCATGTACATTAGTTTTATCCAATTTCATGATTAAAGTATCAGCAGGAACTAGGTATTCTTTGTAGAATCTGAGGCTTAAACATTTCCAGAATCTTTGTCAAGCAGAATTTGCTGTTGGCACATAATATTTTACATCACATTTTCCTCCTACAATTATGCTTTCCTGATAATAAGAACGT